AACACAAAAGGCCACAATGTGATAGGATTGTGTCCTTCACAAGTTACATACAGGATTTATATGTAAAGAAATTAATTCTCCAGGCTCTGTAGATGATGTCATCTGGGAATGGGATAAACAAAAAGTCCAGTGAAGAACATTCTCTTTCAACAGACGGGGTAAGCCGGGGACTGTGCCATGCTCTCATTTAGACATAAGGGCAAGCGAAGTGCTGGGGGGCACTGGGGCTGACCCCTAACCTGTTTCTGTCCCAGATTGTTATTCCAGCCTTGTCCCAGTAACACACCCGCCCCTTGTCAGCAGCTGGTTCAGCAATGGGTATGTGAGCCAGTCTTGGCCCACAGATCAGAGGGGAGTCAGCTGGTCCAACTGGGAGAGGGGAGGACACCTGCACGTGGTTTGGTCATCCTGCTACCTGGTTGAGCTCCGGAGCTGTTATACCCACAGACCTCTCGCATTTCCTTATGGTTTAAGCAGGCTGGGTTACTTGCATCCAGGGGCATCTTAAGGGACCCAGAGGCCTTTCTCAAATGGGAAGCCTGGACCAAATGTCCCTCCTGACCTCTGTGAGAGGCCAGACACAGCTAGACCCTGATCCAAGTAGACCCAGCACCTCACTACCTGCCACATCCAGACATCTCCTTGAAAAATCATGGGCCTTGCTGCCTCTCTGCCACGTTGAGCACATGTTGACAGTCACAGATGGGCACTGAGCTTTATCTTTCACCAGGTCGTTACTGCTTAGATTGAGCCTGAGCCTCCAGCTTGTGTCTCCATGTAGAAGTGTTGAATGAGCCAGGATCCCCAAGCCTCCAAACCTCAAGTACCTTGCTTTTTACTTCCAGGCAGAACTGACTGCAGTGGGGGTGGGACACCTCTGTGTGAAACATGGCAATGAAAACAATTGTTGCCTGGACACCACCTACATTTCCTCTTTTGCCTGACACAGATCCCTGTCCGGGGATGCTCAAGAAACTGCAAGAACCACACCCCCAAAGGCCACCTGGCCACCATATTCTGTTTAATTAGCATTATTGCTTACCAAGGCCGCTCCTGGCCAGAACTCTGCCTGTGCATCTGATGGGGCCACTGCACCCGCTGTTTGCCAATAGCAGAGGGGGGCAGAACTGCTGTCTTCAGAGGCCCTTTGACAAGGTCACCAAGTCCTCACGGCTTGTTATGCTCAGCATACGGGTCCCCAGAGGACTAGAAAAGTCTAGATCCCTTCCCACAACCCCCGGGAGCTTGCTTGTCGGGAGAGAGGACAACGAACCCTCACTACTTCCATCTGCTTGTAGCCTGCAGTGCGGGCAGGTCCTGCCAAGGATGGTGACCTCGTCAAAGGGCAGAAGCACTTCTAGTTTCCGTGTGGCCGCCAGGGGACAGGAATGGCTCTGATGAAGTCTGTGCTGGCACATGTGGCCTGGAAGTCAGAGATGGGCTGAGAGCCCTGCTTCTCCTTTTCAGAATAACGCAGGGCACTGCTCCCACCAGAGAGCTTGGGGAGGCACAGGGCAAGAAATCTCCTTTCTTAACGTTCCTGCTCGGAGGCATGTGTGGTGATTTATGACACCCAAGATGACCAGGAAAGGTGCCCATCTCTTTCTGCTCCTCACGTTGTTGGGAAGATTTTAAAGGGACTGGAGGGCTCAAGCTCACCCTGAGTTGTTCTCATCCCTTCCCCACAACATGGGGCTGCTCTAGATCAGCGTTGCAACTCGTCCTTCAGGGATCAGACTGGTAACAACCATGAACAAAAGGCAGGTATAGGACAACAGGGAGTGGTAGGGACTGTCAAGTAGGAGAGTGAAAGCCAGACCTAAGGACACTCAAGTTCAATTAAAATCAAACACACATGACATGCACTTAATAAGTGTTCCAGCTGAGTTTGTTCTGTGGTCCTTGGGTTGTCTTTGGGATCTAGACTGAATAAGTAGACTTGAACAAAGAACCACTGGGGATTTCTGTGTTCCACTTTCACCTGAAGTAGAAGGAGGGGGAACAGAGAGGCAAGCACCAGTGGGTGGGGTAGCCTTTTCCAGAAGAGGAATAAGAGAGATCTGAACCATGGAGGTTTGAAGAAGTAGGGGTGACTCTTTTTTTTTTTTTTTTTTTTTTG